CTTTGTTTTCACTTTAGGTAAAGGAGCAATAACTTAGATAAGTTGCAAACAAAATACTACTACAAATTCCAACATTAAAAATAAAGTATGTCACGGCAATTGAAGTGAGAACGTAAGTTGTACAGATTCAAAAATTTGTACAAGAGTGTGGAGTTGGTCCATCTGTTAATTCTCCCATTACTCTTTATTGTAATAATATTGGAACAGTAGCTTATGTTGTGGAGCTAAGAGCTCACCAGAAAATGAAACACATAAAGTGCAATACCTCTTGATTTATAATTTACAAATAGAGAGGGTGTTATAGTAGGAAGATTGCTTCAACTAAAAATATGGTAGACCCATTGATTAAATCTTTATTCCAAAAGACGTTTGAAAAGCACTCAGAATCAATGGGTGTGAAATATATGTATTATTGGTTATAAGTGCAAGTGAGAGATAGACATATGTCCGTAAAAATCAATTTTATTATTTTATTTATTAGATAAATAAATTGATACATTAATTATTGTTTCTCATATAGTATATTTTAAATGAGTATTATATTCATTTATGACATATGATAACTCTATACAACATTTTCACAAGGTTAATTAACTTATTAAGTTTGCTAATAAGTCTTCAATATTATAATCTCTTATAATATTGACCTTAGTACTTAATTAATCATTTTAATTAAGTCTTTATTAGTTAATTAAACTAGTTTATGATTTAAGTCTAACTTAATAATCACATTCCCAATTTAACCCATAGTGCAACTTTATGTATGTGACTTATTATGTTCTTAACATGTTGGTAATAAAATTAAATTATTAATCTTTATTTATTAATTTAAATGAATATAATTCATATTCAATTAATCAATTCAATTCCATAGAGCAAAATCAACATCTAGTAATGTATTATGGCCACCTAATTATTAGAAAAGTCAAAGATTTTTTAACAACTTTTTAACGTACATTCTATTAGTGTAATTCATCCCCTTATTAAATATCTCAGAGATGATAAGAACTTGGTGCAGTGTCTTTTCTTATTAACCTCTATATTTGTTCCTACAATTAGATCATTAGCTTTCTAATGACTTACAAAACTCAATTTCATAATCTCCCAATCACCTTGATCAAGGATTTGATTAAACTAATATCAACTAAGAACTAATGAAATATTTCCCTTTAAATCACTTGAGGTGATGATTTCTATATTTAATGACTTATTTGCATTCATATGCTTCATACTATATTTAAAAATATCTTGATTTAACATTTTTGGTAAGACTCGTAGGGATGAAATCAAAGCATAGTATTTTCATAGAAGACAATCTAGTGTCTTAAATCTAAGTAGTAGTTACACGATTGACACTTGAGAAATATTATATAGACACTAGACTGAGATATCAAATGCATTTCACATGTCAAGTCATGTTTAGTGAGCTTGCTTTCCAATGATAAGCACCTACATACTAGTTCTAAGTATTTTTATTTTTCAACTTATGAAAGGGGTTGCTTACTTCATGAGTCAGGAACATAGTGCATGTTAATCTTTGAGCATTATTGATGCTTCGTCTCAATAATACAATGATCAGAAACTTTTAAGAACAATGCTTTGATGCATAAAGATCTCATAATTGTATCACAATACAATTTCTTTGCAAGGCATGTGTAATTTCTTGAGTTTTATCTACATAAGTATAAATAGTAATTAAATTACAAACTTATGGATAAAGAACTATCTCAATGTTGTTATAATAACAAAATATCATACATGAATATCTAAATTTGTGATTCCTATACAAGCACAGATTAACATATATGACTCATATCAACATAGATAACTTTCTTTGCAAGCTATCTTTTAACTCTCTTTGGGTTCAGTTTTTATGAACCTTAATTAAACACTTTTTGTAAAGCATATTTTTTAACAGTTTCCTTTAATATTTTATTATTCTCTAATCTCATAACTTAATTTTTATATTGGAATGATACAATGTAAATCATACCTAAGTTAAAGACTACTGTTTTTCCTAGAAAGAAGTTCATTATCATATCAGAAATCATTATCATAGTCTTTAAGATCATCGAAATCTATATACTCAGTCTCATATCGTTTACCATCTCCTCCAATATTGTCAATTGCATCATCAATATCACTTTCATTTAAATCTTCCATGGCATCATTTTTTTTAGCTTATCTTTTTTTACTCAATTAATTTCCTTATAATGTCTCCAATCTCCTCGTCATCACTTTCACTAAGACACTCAACATAAACTAACAAAACATCTCCTGATTCCATATCATTCCGGGGCATTCCATTACTATCTTCCTTATCATTGATATTCACTTTATTCCTAATGTTGTCAACAAAGGTAGATCTAACAAACCATTATTATCTTCCTTATCACTGTTATTCGCTTTATCCCTAATGTTATCAATGATGGTAGACCTAACAAACCATTATCAACATTTTTGCCCTCTGTTTGGTTATCTTAAATAGTGTCTTCACCCTTTGCTTTCTTATACTTCATGAGTAAAGGAGTTTCATTTAACAAATCAGACGCATTAATCATATGGTCTAAATATAGATCTATAGTACCCTTTATGAATAAAAATCTTAGATAAATCTAAAACACTTAGATTATCATTTATCAACATCAAACTATGGAAAACTCCATTCGAGGGATTTTAAGGTAAATGAAAGGCACACCCACATATCCTAATTCTTTCACAAAATATTCTATTTCAAGAAATGATAGCCTATCAATATCTACTTGAAAATTATCTCACTTGCCATTCACATATGAAGTTTTCATATTGTGTACAAATTAAAATTATAAAGTCTTATGTGGCATAAAAATTAAGTTCATGGTTTATCTGGTACAAAATAAAAATTCAAGAGCTTATAATAATAATATTAGTACTTTTTATTTCTTAAATAGATAGAATTTTTGACGTATTACTTTGGTTTATAAGAGAAAAAACAAAAACAATACCACCAATTTTCTAAATGAGATTTCATATTCATGAATATGTTATACAAAGTTTTTTATTGATAATGATGAAACTATTTATCTATTAATCAAGATATATATTCTAAAATTAACACACATACACACATATATATTCTTAACAAGAAAGATTTCAACATTACTGCTAAAAATTTTTTATAAAAACTTTTGAAATAATTTTTATTTTTATTATCAAAATTCAATAAGGATTCAACAATAAATCCTTTCTTCTTTTTCTAAATCTCAATTTTGATTTTTCGCTTTACAACCCTAAACGTATTATTAAAACAACTCCAAGTAAACTTAAAACACTAAAAAGCTAATTCTATACAATCAAATTCTAATCATGAATGTGCATAAACAACAAAATAAAGGTGTTTATTGGTGAATACTGAAGTCATCAATCTAATAAAATTAGTGAACTTTCAAATACAGTAAAGAATTATGTTTCCAACATCTCATTTAGTGTGATACAATCTATCATAGATAAATTGTGTTTCTAATATATCATTTAGAGCTTGTTTGGCTTAGCTTTTTTTTTTTTTAACTTAAAAGCTATTATGAGTTAAGCTGAAGTTATTTGGTAAATTTTTTTTTATAAGTTATAATTTTGGTTAAAATTATCATAAAGGATTTTTTTAAGAGAGTAATTTTGTAATTATTTTTAACAGATGAGGATAGTTTTGAAACAAAAATAAAAATTTTTCTGTATTTTTGAAAAAAGAGAAGAAAAAGGTTCTCATAGGAGCTTTTCCTAAAGCTCTTTTTCAAAAAATTTTATTCTTTAAAAAAAAGCTGTTTTTTTTAAAGAGCTTTTTAAAATTTATATTTGACTTGATTTTTACTTTTAAGAGATAAATAAGCTAAAAAAAAATCAGGCTAAACAAGCACTAGTGTGATAATAATCATTCATAAATATCTTAATTTCAAATAGAACATGAATCATGAGAATAATTATAATCATAACTATGAATGATTGACAACATATTTAGATTTAAAATTTTGATTCAACTATAAATGTATGCATTTCTTATCAAACTTCTTTTCCTGCTAAACAACAGAATGTGGAAGTATTGTATATTAGTAATTTTAAGTCATTTTGTTTGGTTAAATTTTAAGTTATTTATATTTTAATTAATTATTCAAATCATGATAAAATTAAATAAAATCTAAAAAGTCCCTTAAAATAGTTCAAAAGAACACTTTGATCCCTCTTGTTTCAAAATGATATTTTTGATCTTGTTTCAATACCACATAAATATTTTAAGACACAAATTACTTCTTAAAAGAAATAGGCTCATGTTCCTTATGAATGCAATAGTTTGTTTCACTTTAATATTTAATAAAATTTCATATTTGACAAAGAAGAAACAAACTTAAAACTTTTGATGTATAATAATCTAAGTCAAAATCCTTTTATATCACCCTAAACCCTAATTTCAAAGAACTTTTTGGACAAGAATTTTTCAACAAGATTAGTAATCACAAGCAAGAAATTATCCATAATTGAACAAAAGATCTCCTTTTAATACATTCTCTTTAATGAAAAAAATGTTCTCAAATTGTTTGAGAAATAAAGTAGTTTGATGACAGTAGACTTTACTTCAAAAAATAAGTTTATGGTTTTTGAGGCAAATATAGTTCCAAGTTTCCAAATTTTAAAATTTAAATTTTTTAGAGTTTTTTTTAATTAAGGTTTTGAGGGAATGATGAGTTATTTTTTTTAAAAAGAGAATATATTTAAATTAAAAAAATAATATAAGAAGTATTTATATTTTAAATTATTTAGTCAGTACTAGGTCTAATTTTTTTTTGTAGTTAACTAACAGTATTAACTGTTAAAGGATAAAAACATAATTTTAAAATAATAGAGATTAAAATGTCATTTTAAACTATTTTAAAGAAATTGTTTAGATTTTACCTGATAAAATCTATATCAAATGTTTTTATTCCAACTGGCTCGGAATAACCATTATCAAGAAGAGGAGCTCAATAATTACTATTCTGATACCTCCCGGACTGGCTATTTCGAGAACCAAATGCCAAAATAAATGAGGGGATGGAATATCAAGAATACCCAATCGTTTTTAAATATTTTCCTTTTTAGTACAAATTGAATTGTAACGGAAATTTCACCCCAACTTCACCCAATTGCCTTTGCCGAAAGAAGCTTCCTGCCTTTCATATTTTGCAACGACTCCGTAGTTCTTTGCAACAAGGCCCAGCAAATGGAAAACAAGGGTTCAAATGATGACGACAACGCCACCATCAGCGACGTTTCCGTCGAAGTAAATCCTGCTAATTCTTCCCCAACCCCAGACTCTCAAACTAACAATGATCCCGGCGATAGTGACAGCACCGAAGCTTTAGCCAAAGCTTTATCCTCGATGCTTACCTCTCTCATCAAAGACTTCGATTCCAAAGCCCACGACACTCTCTCCAGCCAAGACCTCCTTAGTTCCTCAATTGATCGTCTTACTCGAGGTTGATTTCCTCTTTTCTTTATTTTATTTTATTTGTTGTGCGGTTGAAGTTGAATATTAATATAAGATAAAAATTGTTTCTAATGTTGTGGGTCGGCAGAGCTTGATCAATTACTGGAAGATGCTCCGTTGCCCTTCATAATGCAACATGCTGCCAAGTTTTCTAATGTTAGAAAGAGAGTTTTCTCATTGAATTTGCTTTTGAAATCCATACAGCGGCGGCTTGATAATGTAGACCGGATGCTATCAATGGGCTTGCAGCATGGTAACTAACGTTTTTCTTCATACTCTCTTCTATTGTTTATGTAAAATCCTGTATGCTTTTGGAATAGTATGATCAGTTCCATTTTTGAGTAATAATTTTATTTAGTGAGACAGGGAAATTGCCGCATGGTTGAGGGTTTTAAAATGAGCATTTTTTAGGTCCTTACATCTCAGAAATTCCAATTTCCATGTTTTCTTTTTATGATTCTTGAGCTCCATTACCAGTTTTAAGCTCTTTTCTTACTGGATATTGTTATCAAACTGGGAGATTTTGAACCTAAGCAGAAGCTATTTGTATCATTAGGTTCTTACATAAGCTTATATGGAATTAGTGTAATATGTAGAACAGCCGGCTCAGTACCTATAAATTGTCATTTAGCTATTTAGGTGAGGGAAAGTTGGCAGCTGCTTTTGTATGGAATGGGTTAAGAATTGATAAATACTATTCTAGGCTTTAAAGAGAATGTATTAGAGCTAGTAGTAAACCTCAAACTGTGCAGAGAAATACGGAATAACAAGAGGAATAATGCTGAAAGAAGATTTCCTTTGGAATCAGAATCAGAATCAGACTTAAGGTTGATTGTATCACACAATCACATGAACCATGCCGTACTGCTAGATATTCTCTTGTAATATTTCTATATCCAGATATTGAAAGTTGACATTGACATATACATATAGACTCCTAGCATTCCTAGTTCAGTAAGAAGTACCACTTCTAGTCAAATAATTACTTTTAAAAAATAATTAAGTTGAATTAGGAACATAACAGACTTGACTTAGAAAGCACCTAAATTATGAATAAAAACTTAACAAAGTAAAGAAAGCCCCAAAACAAGACTCTCAAACTCAAAATCTAAACCAGAAGATTGTAAAAATATTTGACACCTAAAAAATTCACAAAACAAAAATACAGGTCCATTTTTCAACTTTTAACTTAAAGAAACAAGAATTTAAGATTCAAAAGCAACTGATGAATCCTACTCAAGCTCAAAATTAAGCTTCTAATCATTGGACATGAGCTAAATTAAACTTGGGATGTTAGACCAGCCTTAGTACATAAACACCTTTAGATGCTATTTTGGGCATGCTCCATCATCTCTCACAGCTTGGAGAAACTGACCCCATGGAGTTAAAGGCATGCATTCTATCTTAAAGCTTTATATTAAGTCGCTACAACTCCTCTTGTCTGATCGAAGTGCATTTGGAGTACCAAAATGACATCACTATAGCAAAGTTCTTGTCTTGCATAAAATGTCTCTTGAATCATCTCCGTGTAGCTCTTGAAAAGTTTGCTCACACAACTTTAGAATAATTATCCATCATGTATGGCATTAGGACCTGCTGTGTTAACTGTTGTATCCCGCAAATCTCTCATTACATACATAAAGAACGATCGTTCTGTGCTGACTTTGCAGCTTATTGAAGCCTGTACTTGACCTTGCAATATAGTCAACAACATACCTCTCCACCTAAATACATTTGGCTGCTTTATTACACTCACCTGATTTATGCTTGTATGTGAATGAGATCTGTTCAGAATGAACTCCAGGCAGCATGTTTTGGGCTGAGTTTCTTTTCTGGTTTAAGAGATTAAAGTGCTTCATGGTCTGAATAGGTGAATATACCTTAAAATCCCAAATACGACAATAGTATCGCTAATGGTGAAGGGCTCAGGCTAAAGCATCAAATTCCAGATTATTGGTCAAGTTTTACTATTTTGCATCGACAACTTCTCTTAAAAAGGGTCAGTCTTCCTTCGTGGCTAGGAACAGCTGCTATCCATACATGGTTATTATCACATTCCACCAGAAAGAGCTTTTCAAATCCAGCAGCACTACTACTGGTGCTTTGGCTCCTGGCTGTCTTGATCTGTTTAAAAGCCTTTCTGCTTCTCTGGTCCAAAAGAATGACTTTACCTTTAAGCATTGTGTGATGGGACTCATTATAGCACTGAAGCTGCAAATACGTCTAGGTTTAAAAGAAGCTGATCCATGGAAACTACAAACGACTCCCATGAACTGAGGTGCAGGGCATTCAATTATATCTTTAACTCTTTTGGGATCTAGCTTTAAACCTTCAGCTTGCCTAGGGCTAGCTATACACCTTAGACTAATGCCCCTAGAAGGGGATAGTTTTATGATTATTATTGTTAACATTATTAGGTGTTGTTGCTGTTACTGGTTTTTTTTTATTTGTTAAAACTATAAACAGCTTCGGCAACTTGTTATTTGTTAGAGATGTATGTCCAAACTGAATGATAGATGCATATTTTAGAGATATTTCATGATTTGTCTTATTGTGCTCATAACTGACAAAGTGAGATGCAATCACAGAGAAGACTGCCACAGAAGATTCCTGACAACATCAAACTTGGCTGTGTATTTTTGGTAAGTTTTAATCCCTTCATGACTGAAACATTTTAAATGAAAACAATCCCTTTGGTTGAGGCAAGTGGAAATCTCTGTGATAGTTGACAAAGGTTTACACTCCCTAAGGATTGACTTTGCATAAAAAAAGAAAAGATTCTAGTATGTTTTTATTTTATTTCTTCAGTTATCTAGAAAGCTATACTTTTTCTTCTTTTTCTTTTCCTTTGTATCAAATTCATATTATAACTTTAAATGGGGAACCAAGGTGCATCGGAAGTAAATAAAGGACCACTAAAAGGTATTGTTAACTATTTAAATCATTTATGAGGGAATATTGAACCAAAATATCTAGTATTTTACACTCCAATTTTTGTCATTCTACTGAAGTGAAATAAATGAAATTATGGAATAAACAAACTTTTATCTGTATTGTTAAACCTCCTTCAGCCTTCAATTAGCAAGCAATTTAATAGCTACTCTTGGTGTAACTAAGTAAACTCCTAATGAGGAGATAATTAGAGACCTTAATAATGCAGAATAAGAATGTTGTGGGAAATGTTTGACTGATTTAGGTTGCTGTAGGCAATCATGCTGTATTTGGCATATTAGATTAGCAGTTTTCAAACTTGTACTAATTTGTTCTTATGTAGACTGACAAATCAGTTAAACTGTCCTGTGTTTTGCAGTTTTCTGAATGAATAAACTAAAGTAGGATGGGCTTATCAGGTGTATGGCTTTGTTTAACAGATTCTTAGCAATCAAAGATTCAAAATATTGGCTGACTTAACCATTTAAAGGTACCCTATTTTAAGATTTACATAATATAGTCTAAACACTCAAACTTTGAAAGTTTTGGCCAATAAGCCATAGGTTATGTCAAGGTTACTTTTATACTATATAAGCTACAACAGAAAATGCATCATTTATTCAAAGAAGAAACCAAAAATAATAATAATAATAATAA